ACACACAAAGGTTCTCCACCTAAGGTATCATCAGAATGAGTCTCAAAAGTCGCTTCATGTGTATTAAATACACAGATAGAGATGAAAGAAAAAAGAACTCATGGGGTTAAAGTATCACAACACAGCTCCAGTAACATACTCTTTAGGAATGTTGCCAAAGTGCCATCGGTAATAGATTCACCCATGAAAGGAACAACAGCTTCTACCAAGTCTCCTGCATAATTTAACAGTTAAAAGTTAAAACATGTCTTATATATATAATATGGACTATACAGAACCAAAAAGCACGTAAAATGTTAAGACTATTAGATGATAATGGACAGTATCTATATACCACTGTCTGAGGAAAATGATCTATTTCTCAATCGGATAAAAGATTCTGTTTGATATAGTGAAGTAGCTTCCCTGCAACAAATAAATAATAGAACATCATTAGAAAAACAAAACTCAGAACAAAAATTGCACATGTAATTTGGTTCAGGCTAGGGCCAAAATTCTGATTCTCAATCTAGATTAAGGAAGTCAACTGCAGGAAGAGAGGGGAGTAAATTTAATATTAAAATAAAGAACCTGCTTGTCTTTGAAACATGATCGCCTGCAGAGTAGGAATTTGAACAAATCAATAACACCACCCCAAAGAAAAAATGAAAAGAAACACACAGGTAAAAGGAGCCCCAAAAACACGGGAATTTTACTCATACCTAAAAGAATGTGGTAGCTTGAGCTCTGAACACACTCAAATCCTTTCCCAATAAACAAAGCCTGTTGTAGGTTAAAAGCTATTAGGTGATTCTCCAAAAAAACTACATACGAATACTAATGTACAACGAAAATTTTCTACAAAATCTAGGAAATATGGTTATATGCAATGCCATCATTCAAATACCTCATCCCATTTTTATTTACAAAAATGAAAAAGAGCAACAGAAGCTCATTTTATTAAGTACCTCTTTTGGTACAGTCCGATAACAGCTCTGTGTGGACGCTCCATGCCTAACCTTCCACGCTTGTCCCAACACCTGAGACTGTGCATTGAAACATGCATAATCAAATACCAAACTAGAACATAACCTTCAAGTATTGAAACACAGAACAAAGAAAAAAGTGAAACTAGAACTACACAAAGCAAGCACATTTGGAGCAAAATATAGCAATTGATGGCAAAATGACGACAGTTCGATTGCATACCGAAGCTACTTTACGGCGAATAGTCCCCCAAATCATTGTTCTTCAATTCTTCAGAACCCGACCTGAAAGATTCCAATTTTTGACAAATCAGCACCAGGTAACTGAAATCGCAACTGTATTTCAATAAAATAAAATAAATGCTTGGATTAAGCTATGAGACTAAATCTTTGAGCAGGTAAATAATGGGTTGAAATGGAAGACTGAGATTGAGATTGAAATTCAACGATGTCATATGAACACGATCATCTAAACCTAAAAATCCAAACTTTTTGGAAGAATTATAACAAATTCATCGACATATTTGAAGAAAAGAAATGACATAAATAATACTCCGTCCAAAATCATACATCTTTTTTCATCTATATACAATGATTGAGAGAGAAGAGTAACTGTTACCTGGTAGCTGAGAGCGAAGTAGGGATCCAAATGCTAAAAATACAGAGACAAAAAAGAAGAAGAAGAAGAAGAAGAAGAATGGAGAGGAAGGAAAGTAAAAATTCCAAACGGAGAATGGTATGCGCTTCTAGCGGCTTTCACGCCGACCATCTAACGTGCGTTTCCATCCTTCTATTTTTCCTTTTTCTTTTTCTTTTTCTTTGGCTCATGCTTAGCAACAATCAAATAAAATCCACTAATAAAATGTTACTATACTATTTGCTACTGACAGTAACACCACTATTCTTCTTGTTTTTTTTTTTTTTTATATATATATATAATATATATAAGTTATAGTTTAAATGATTCTAAATTATAGGATTGAAGTTTACTAGTTGGCCTAACCCACTTGGTAAGGCTTGTTCAAAATTGCTTCTCTCGAAAGTACTTATGCTCATATCATATGCAATTATAGCAAAAGAATTTTTATTATAATAATGTTGAAATTTTTATATGAAATTCAAGTGCATCTTGAAAAAGTACTTGGGAATGGTTATTGAAAAAGCACATAGCATATGCTTCTTTAAAAATTGCTTCTATAACTTATAAACACTTCTAAATTTTTTTGTCAAACGCTGTAAGAAGAGTTTTTTCATATCAGAAATTGTTTTTATCTCTTCCATAAGCACTCCCAAACATACTCTTAATCTTTATAAGATTTAATCCTTTATGTCCAAAAAATTTATCACTTGTGAATTTAAAATATTTTAATAAATAAATAAACTTTTGAGTTAGTGGATGAATGGTAGCATAATAGGTCTAACCTATATTCAGATTTTATATAAAGAGAAATCCATATTCTTTTTTATTCAAGGGAAGGGAAGGCAAAAGTTGAACTTATGCTATGAATGTAGAATGTAGATGTTGAAGCCCTCACATATAATTTATACTAGCCCTTGGCACATGCTCATCCATGTGCCAATTGGTTTTCTTTTTTATTTTTATTTTATTTTTAGAATTAAGAAAAGATAACATGGGTAATTATGTTTCATAAAAGTAAGAACTATTATATGATTTTTATTTTATTTTAATGGTTTTAATATGGAAAAAAGTGAATTTACTCATGTTAACATGGGTAGTTATCCTCATTTAATTAATAATTTCAATTATTAATGCTTGAATTAACCAATGCTATTTTTTAGTATTTGAATATATCACAATTCTCTGTCTTTTGCTTTATCTATATTTATCTATATACTAGGTCACACATGTGCCAATTGGTTTTCTTTTTTTCTTTTTATTTTATTTTTAAAATTAAGAAAATATATCGTGGGTAGTTATATTCCATAAAAATATGACCTATTATGAAACGACCTGACCCAATTTTCACTTTGGAATGCGGGTCGAAACCTGTTTAAAACTGACACCTGGTAACCGTGGGTCGTAAAAGACCAAAATGCCTTGAAAAACAGTAACACAAACTCTAGGGGCCTAACTCGTGGCTGCGCCTGGTAATTGTAGGATGCCTACGTACCCTTACTGAGGGATCAAGCCACACATAGTTCTCTCACCTGCCCCTGACCTGTAACTGGTTTAATTACTGTAAACCTCGCTCTAGAGCTGACATTCCTGGAGTAACCGGGACTCTGTTTTACGATCTGTCAACTACTATACGATCCTGGAAATACCTGGGTCAACATACTTGGACCTAACAACAATCCAACGGCTCAAACTTGCTGAACCTGGAACTCACATACCAGGCGAGCTCCGCGGGGTTCAAACGGTATCCGAATTAAGATCCGCGAATTCCTACGGGCTCATGACGACCCAAGGATCATTCTGGAACTGAAATGGGGTCTCGACCAATCTGCCCACGCGCCGCCACACGCGCCGGTAGAGCGTGTGTGTCCTAAGTGATAACGCCTCGCCGAAAAAACTCAACATCTAGGCTCAAGACTCCTATCATAGGTATAACATCCTATTTGGAGCCACTTTTGTTCTGGGACCTACCCCAAAAAGAGGTCGGAAGTGGCCGGAATAGTGCCCCGAAACTCTGTCAAAACCTAGGTTTCGAAAACGCTCTCCTACACGTGAAATCAACCAATACCTATCCAACCATCAGCTAGAGCATGAAAAATAGCTAGAAATTCATACCTCATATGCTCGGATTGGTGGCCGCATGAGGGAGAAATCGCTCTCCAAAATTCTGTCAAAATCGGTCTGAAACCATGGTTTTTCTGACGGTTCAAGGTGGCAGGCGGCGAGAGGATGACCGGGCTAGGTCGGCGAAGTGACGCCGGTGGTTCTGGGTTCGGTCTGGTGGGTCGGGGTGGCCTGTGGCGGTGGCTGGGAGGAGATGACGGATCGGACTGAAACAGGGGGGGAGATCGCGACGGGACAGAAAGGAGTTGAGGGTTTTAAAAAAAATCATGATTTCCCAAAATTACCATTTTGCCCCTGGACGTATTTTGACCGTATTCTCTTCGTCAATACTCCAATTCGACCCCAATATGTGTCTACGGACTCGTCTCGCTGCGCCCTACGCAACGGTATAACTGGAATTCCTAAATTCCTTCCCAGTCAAAAAGTCAACTTTTCCTCAATAAAATATTCTAAGGGCATTTTAGTCTTTTCCTCCAATAAATTAATAATTAAATATTAATTTCAGGTTTGGGTTGTTACATATTATATGATATTATTTTTAATTTTAATTTTTTTAATATTAAAAAATGTGAATATACCATATTATCCTTATTTAATTAATAATTTCAATTCTTAATGTTTACATTCAAAATACCAGAAAATACCATTGGTTAATGCAAACATTAAGAATTGAAATGATTATATATAGATAATAAGGAAATATATTGTTTAAAAAAAAAAACAAATATACAAACAAAATATTATGTATTTTAATAATAATAATAATAAAAAGCTTATCATGCTTCGTATGGAAAATTTACAATAAAAATGTTAAGTATACAACCAACCAGCTAAAAATGGTATTTAGAAGTGTTTCTCTTCATGATTTCTCAAATTTGAAGCTCACTCTCAAAATAAATTTTCAATTCAGAATTCAAGTACTATTATCTAAAAAGAAAACCTAGCTTTATTTATTTGGGAGATTTTATATTAAGGATTGGTGACATACTTCTAATTTTGGTCGTTGGATTGCATTCATTAAATGTGTTGGTAGTCTTGTAAATGCAATCCAACGGCTAAAATTAAAAGTATGTAATCAATATTTAATTTAAATACTTATTGAAAAATATCCCTTATTTATTATGAACAATATACCTAGTTTTTAAAAGAAAAAAGAAAACGAACATCGCCTATATTTTGAACCAAACAAAAAATAAAGGTTCATTGAATTGAATTGAATTGAACCAAACACCGCCACCTGTTCATTTCTTGATTGGGGCGGTTCATTTTCTTCTTTAAATGTCATTTGTTCTCTCTCTCTCTCTCTCTCTCCACTCTAGCTGCCCTTCAAGAAGACCTAGACTCCACCCCTGCTAACACTCTCACACCCACTCTCAACTGCACTGCCTCTTTGTTTCACATTTTCTCTCCCAAAGTTTGGGCTTCACTTCTTGGTAAGGGTTAGCAATTTTTATTTTATTTTATAAATGTTTCATATGTTGCTTTCCTTGATCTTGATTTATGATCTGTGATGTTTGATTGTGTTTTTCTTGATATTTGAATCCATTTATTTTGTTTAATTTTCTTTCTTGATCCATGCTGTTGTGTAAATTTTCTATTTTGATTTCATTTAAGAGATTATTTAGAAAAATTTATCCAAAGAGTTGAGAAACGCAACGTTCTTTGCTCGTATTTCGTGAAATTCTCTCTATCTATAGCTCTCTGTTTCTATGCTTGAGTTGAAATCTGAAGACCGAAGGGTAAGATGCGATAAATTCATGTTATCAAAACCACAAATTTATGCAAAATGGTAGATCTTTCGGAATGACGTCATCTAGTTTGCAATCTGTTTATATTGAGATGCTTCAACTTTTGTACTAATATATTATGATATTTGGAAACAAACTTAATGAGTTGGTTCAATGCTTCGGTATTGTTATTTTTATTGAACAGAGTGCTTATCTAAGTTACCTTCTGTTCTCATTCTTACTCCTTGTTCGTATTATTACATTCGTGGCTTACTGATAACAAGCACTAAAGCACCTCAATCTGTTCAATGAAATAAACAGATTTTTTTACTAAAAGTACCTCAATTTGTTCAGTGTTTCAGCTCTAGAGTTTGGAGTGAAGATGTTGCAGCTGCTATACGGAGTCATTTTCGGGGAAATGTTCCTGATTTTGACCTTGTTGTTTAAGAGCCCTCTGAGGAAGCTAGTGATCCTGGCCTTGGATAAGATGAAGCGAGGGAAGGGCCCAGTGATGGTGAAGACAGTCGCTGGGACTGTATTTGTTGTTCTCCTGGCCGGCGTCTACACTCTGGTTGACATCAAGAACCGAACCATTGAGTCTGGTATGCTCAACCCTACGGACGAGGTTCTCATGTCCGTGAAAATGCTTGAAATTTCTCTCATGGGTATTTTTCTTAAACTTTTAAGATTAGTTTTCAAAAACTGGAATCTGGCTTATATATTGCGAATCTAGGTTTTCATCTTCTTCTTCTTCTGTTTTTTAGTTATTGGAATCAGGTGTACTTGTTATGAGTTCTTTAACTGTTAAGTGTATATCATGTGACAAGTTGGTGCTCTCTTGATGGTTGAGCTCGTATTTCATGAAACTGGGAAGAAATGGATTGATTATTCGTATGCAGAGTTCATAGCTAGCATATGAAGCATCTGATCTGCTTTGCCCTTAGTGTTTGACTTTCATCAGCTTGAGCATGAAACATATTGGTTCAACCAGTTATGAAGTTGAGTTGGCTCTCAAACAGCAGAAGTTTTGGTTGCTTGTTTGCCAATATTGTTCAACATTATAGATTTGCTTCTTCTAACTTTATGAACTGTCTTCCCCTCCTTTTTGTTAGGCAAACTTTTGGTTATCTGACGCAATGGCTATTAAGATATCTTAATGGCCCCCACATCAGATTACCAAAGTTTTTGCTCATGTTATTTATAATCTGAGTGATTTCTGTTTAGGGTAATGGTATATTAGCTATCATACTGCTCATTGTATTTTATTTTATTATTTGTTTGATAGCCATTCATATCCTTCAAAACTGACTTCAATCTTATCAAATGCAGGGTTTTTTCTGTTTCTTTCACTGATGTTAGATAGATTGCACCATTACATAAGAGAACTTCGATTCCTCAGGAAGGCCATGGATGCTGCAAAAAAACAAAGCCAAAGTATTCAAGAGGAGAAAAATGGAAGTTCAGAGCAACTTAAGACCTTGGCACAAGAGAATGACACATTGAGGACAAAGATCAAGAATCTGGAATCTGAATATGAGACAAAAGCAAAGAAAGCAAAGGCGGCGGGAAGTGAGGTGGAGGCACTAAGAAAGCAATCTGAAGGACTCCTTATGGAATATGACCGCTTGCTGGCAGACAACCAAAACCTCCGGAGCCAGTTAACATCGATTGAGCAAAGCACATCCCACTCTGATGACAAAAAGAACACATAAGGGAGTGGTTACTTGGTAAAAATTCAGTCATCTTTGTCAATATCTAGCTCTATGAGGGTACTTTAGTTCTTGGATTGAAACTGAAAAGAATATGACTGCAGTTATGAAATGGGACCAATACTTATATATAGTGAAATGATGCAAGAATTTTGTTAAATTTTTGGTTCTCTTAGATAAAGATTGCCTTGTGATATGCGTTTTAAATAGGCGACATGCTATTATCATCCGCATAATCTTCCAGGTGGGTGACTGGATGGGGCAGAGCATAAACTCAAACTATATTTTCAGAACTCAACCTGTGAAACCGCTGAAGTAGGCGGATTCTATGGGCAAAATCCCAAAGTCCAGACCCACTGGCTGTATTGAAACCAACCCGGTAACTTCCCAAACCAATATGCAGTTACTTTTATTTTTCAGACTTTGTCTTCAGAAGCCTTGCCCTACATTATCTTTTTACAAATTTATAAATAAACCTAATCCTAGACATGTATTTATAAAAAAACCAAAGCACTATTTAAACATAGAAACACACCCAAAATCAACCTCAAAGTCAACAATTATATATTTTTTGGGTGTGTTTATAAATGAGTTTTGAGTGTGTGTAATGATGAGTTTTGGGTGTGTTTATAAAGTGTTTTGGGTATTAGGTTTTTTTATAATTTCAGCTCCCATTTTGGGTGTTTTAGTGAGACTCCCATATAATATTCCTCTCTCTTCCTCGGTATACACTCTCCGGGACAGCTTAAGTATTCCCCCATCCTAGCAGTCTGACTCGCTGAAGTGAGTTTCTGTCATGTTAGCTATTACTGCTAGCTAGACTCAAGGCCAGTTTGGCTACTGTGCTTCGCTGTCAGATTTGCAAACTTTTTCTTACAGTAATTTTTAACAATAAGTGATTTTATTATAGTTTACCAAACTGGTTGGGTTTCCTTTTTAAAAAAAAAAAAAAATCACTTATCACCCCAAATAAGCAATACCAAACGGGCACTGGGGGGTGGTGTTGGTGTGTATTCAATTGGGATTTTAAGTTCACTTCACCTGATTAATTTATGGGCCCTTAATTTATACATGCTTGCGTTGAATGAACAATGCATCCATGACTGACTACCTGTTAAATTATGCACTGTTGAACTTGAAAGTTGACTATGATGCAAGTGGGATTCATGATTCAAAAGTCAGGTAGGCGAAACTTACTTTAAAAACTCGACGGTACGAGTGAATTTCATTCATAAAAATAAAAAGATACACCTAGTAGGGGAGGACGTAATGAGCTTTACTCTCAAATATGCATCTCTATACAAATAAAAGCTTAACAAAAAAAAACTAAAAAAACAAATTAATGCAATGCAACACAAAACTAAACTATTTAAATCTAAAACTAAATTAAACTATTAAAAAACTTAAGATGCATATATTTATTTTAGGAAAAAGCCAATTGAAGAAGATAATTAAAGATGAGAGAAGAAGAATACTTGTTGTGCCAAGAGAGAATGTCTAGACTCAAGAAGAAGCTGCAAAGGAAAATGATTTGGGACTATCAGGAACTGGCTGCTTACTTATATTGCTTTTTTTTTTTTTATTTTTTTTTATTTTAAGGTTTGACTGGGCCATATAACATATGTTTTTTTTTATTTTATCAGGCATGAGTTCACACCATCAAATTGGTTGGGTAGGAATAACTTTGCTTACACATAGGTTCTTTTTTTTTGGGTGAAAAAATTTGGGGTTGGCAGCTGCCTACCCTGCCCTTACTGTAGGACAGCCATATGGGACTCAATTTGTCAATTAATCAGGCACCTACTTTTATCTTTTTGATCACATTATAACACATTATAAATAGAAGCCATAACCCCGACTGAGAAACTCACAAAGCAGTTCATCTTACAAGCTCTTCATCTCCCTAGCCTACTTCTTGGTTGCCCAACTAGCTGCCATATCCACCAATGACATTAAACTTCATACCAAAGCTACTTTTAGTTCTGGCATTTGCTGCTTTTTCAGCCGGAGCTAGAAGAAGTGAGCTCGAACTCAAAGAAACCCACCTGTCCTTGTTCTTCCATGACATAGCCGCCGGTTCAAATTTCACACTAATTCCAGTTGCCGGTATCGCGGGCAAGCTCTGGACCTTCGATCAGTTTGGAACAGCTTTTGTGACAGACGATCCTCTAACCGAGACCCCTGATCGAAACGCACCCATAGTTGGGAGAGGCCAAGGCATTTATGTGACGTCAGGGCTGGATGGACGTAACACCCATGTCTTGATATCCATTGTGTTCACCAACAAGAAGTACAATGGCAGCACACTGGAGATACAAGGAACCAGCAAGCAGTTCGAGAAAGTCAGAGAGGTTTCAGTGGTGTCCGGTACCGGACAGTTTCGGTTCGCCAGGGGATACGCGACGTTCGAGACGTATCTTTGGGATCCGGCAACTTTCTACTCCGTGGAGAGGTGCAACGTTACAGTGCAACACTACTAGAAGATGATGTTTGTTTGTAGGTTTAGAAAATGGGGTAAATAATCAACAAATATGGAGCTGTTCATGTTTGTATGGATGCTCTGGTGGTGATTTATAATTTGCAGATTGTAGGTCTCTGACTCTTTGTTTACCTGTAATCCCCCACATGAATTTGGATTCGAATAAAATTGCTTGAACTTGTGTTTTTTCCTGTCAAATGAGAAGGATATCATAGAGAGGGTGACGATTTTGACACTGACAGTGACATCTAGTTCCTCGTTTCCAATCCTTACGTGTTTTTGGTGAGGGTTAATAAGTCGAATAAACTAGTCGGTTCAAACCCTAGTTTGAAACTACTCGAGTCTTAAAAAAAATAAGTTTGGTCGTTTCGTTTACAAGAGAAAAATAGTTTGGTCAAATTAGTGTTACTTGAGAAAACCTGAAAAAATAGAGGCAGCCCTAAAGTTGTCTTTGAACTGTAGCATCAAGTAAGTACAAGGGGAGTAGTGCCAAAAGTTATAACTGCTGGTCTACACCGGAACTCAGCCACCGTTGACCGCAGCCAAGGCTTTTTCTTTGACAGCTAGGCTAGACGGTCGCAACATATCTGTGAAAGCAAAAATTACTCATCAAGATATTATTCATTAGCATCTTAAACTTGGAGAAGTGACAATCAAGAGACATGTTTTCCTATCATCTGTCCATCATCACAAACATGTACAAACTCAATATTTGAAAATAAGGTAGACTAAATTTACCTTACACATAAACTTACTGAAAGATAGAAAACTCTACGGTACAAGTGAATTTCATTGATAAGAAGTTCCAAATTTCTAATTTAAAAAAATTAAACCTATGTAAAACATAGAAAAATTGAAGTATGAATTTTAAGGTCAATTATAGCAATTACACATAAACTTCTCCTTAAATGAGAAAATTGAAAGTTTAATCCATTACAAAAGAAGAAGAAAAAATTTGAACCATTTTAGTGCATCTAGCCATTCAAGCCAACTTGGAAAATAAAATTGAAAAGAAGGTATTCAAGCCAAGGTAATGGATTTTATGAGGGAATGAAATGGGTGTTTTCTAAAAAAGGATATGTGTCACATGTGTGAGGTTAGTTTATATTTTTATTTCTATCAGACTTGTGGGGTTAGTTAACTAAAGAAAAAAATATGAGATTTTCTGTGGGTTGGATGGTGGTGGTGTGTGTCCGTGTGGGGTGTAAAAAAGTCACCTAGGCTGCCTATTAACTTTGGTTGGCTATAAAAAATCGAGTCACCTAGACTGTACGTAGGACCATCCCTGATCACACATAAATGAAATCATGGGATTAGTGGGACTTGATGGCCAAGGCCTACCAAGGCAAACATGTCCTATGCTCAAGATCAAGGATTAGCATGTTCATGCCATATGGGAAAGCCCACATGATCACCCACTACCATGCCCATGATGGAGTGATTGTGGATCATGAAGAAAACTATGGAACATGGAACATGGAGCCCAAAACTCGAAGGGAAAAATCAGGTAACAATACTATTCTAACTCTCCTGCAATTATCTTGAACTCCTACGAACTCGAGCAAGTGTTTTCTTGCAGGTACCCTCCTCCTCCCTCATTGATAGCAATCGAAACGATCTTCAACTTCTCAACATTAACTACAAGATTACTTGTTGGATGACCCGAAATTTTCCACTCCAATAGTGGCCTTATCGATTGTGTGCACTAACAACAAGTGCAATTGCAGCACACTTGAGCTACAAGGAAACAGTAAGCAGTTGGAGCCAGTTAGAGAGGTTGCAGTGGTATCAGGTACTGGGAAATTTGCTACGCTTGAGAAGTATTTCTTAGACAATCCAATTGGCTACTCAGTTGTAAAATGGAACGTCACAGTGCAACATTATATTAGAAGATCATGTCTATGATCCTTGGTTGGAAAGATATGGCAAAATTAATGAATGATTAGTTGCAGTTCTTGTTCTTGTAATTTGCTGGTCAACCTTTGAGATACCAATATAGGGGCATAATTTAATTGATGCATTTTTGTGTCACTTGCTTGTGAGTTGGGAAGTATTCAAACTAGATGTATGCATTTGTCCAGCCTCGTAATTTATAGTTTTAGCAGGATGTGTAAACTGCAGTATGTGTGACTGTCATCAAATTTAGTTAGTCAAATTCCGACGTTGATATGCTCACCAAATATGAGACAGAATGCTCGATGTGGTAGCATCAACTTTTGTAACGATAAAGACTAATAAGCCTGTCAGTCCATATAGTTGTCCCTGCACAAGTAGAAGATTCAGCAGCATAGGCTCCATTTTAGTTGATTAGTCATGTCCTGCCCATTATATATAGTTTCTTTTTATTTTGTTGACCACAAAATTCCTTTATTGCAACCCCCTTTGATTTCAGGGATTTTTCCCGGGAACCAACCCCTTTGGCTAATAAATCGGGCGACTTTTCAGCAATTTTATAATGAGTTTTGGTTCTCCTCAGTTCTTTTGGACTGGCTTTTAAAATACTTTATGCTAATGAGGCAGAGTTGCTAGATCTATATGGATTTTTCATACTAGGTGTTGTGAGATCATGTGAGATACTGGAGGTGTTGTGGCCTTATTTGGCCAAGTGGATGTTGAGCAGTCAGACCCTTTCACTTTTGGTGCTTATGGTTCCCTGTTTATGCAGAATTAGTTGTTCTCATGGTCTCTCTGTAGCACTGGTGCTGTAAGGAGTCTTCTTGATCCTCTATTTGTCAACTCTGAGAGTGAGCAGAGTTGGAATTTGTAATAGTTATTACTCAATGTCTTGCTGTATTTATTTGTCCTGATTTATTGTATGCAACAACCTCCATTTGGGATGTGTTCTTCTTTGTATTTACCCTTTTATTAATGAAATTTTGCTTTCTAAAAAAAAAAAAAAAAAAAAAAACAACCACACAACCCACACCCACTACAAAGTCAATAGAGTACAAGAGTTAAATGTAGTCATATTCATATTATAAGCCCAAAAGGAATATAATCTTAGAGGAGATTAAAGATTCTATACGCTACATGACTTAATTATGTAGATATCCCGTATAAACCTCAAAGCTAAAACTTTTAATTATGGTTTTAGTGTTCCATGGTCCATGTGCATGGTTGACTAAGAATAAATTATTTCTCTGTGTTCATATTATAAATGGAAACCAATACCCTCTCTCAAAATCACAAACCTATCCCAAAAGCACCTTATCTTCCAATAGCCTAATTCTTGGTTGCCCAATTTTCAGAAGCTCCTTGTTTATCTAGCAATGGCATCAAACTTCATACCAAACCTCAGTGACTTCTCCTTCTCACTACTATTGGTTCTAGCCATGGCGCCATTTTTAGCCCAATCCAGTGAGCTCAAAGAAACCCATTTAGTCTTGTACTTCCAAGACAACGTCTCTGCTGGTCCAAATGCCACAAGCTTACCAATTGCAGGTATTGCGGGCAAGCTTTGGACCTTCACTCAATTTGGGACAGTTTATGTCACTGACGACCCATTAACTGCAGGCCCGGAACCAAACTCCGCCTCCATAGGCCGGGGCCAAGGCATAGCTGTGGTAGCAGCCCTGAATGGACGCAATGCCCTTGTCCTGGTGTCACTTGTGTTCACGAACCAGGAGTACAATGGCAGCACAATAGAGCTACAAGGAAACAGCAAGCAATTTGAGCAAGTTACAGAGGTGGCAGTAGTATCTGGTACCGGAAAGTTTCGATTCGCTAGGGGATACGCTACGTTTGAAACATATTTGGTGGACCCTGCCACTTCCTACTCCGTCGAGCGATGCAACGTCACGGTGCAACATTACTAGGGTATCAAAGTTAAAGGGTTAGAGATGATGGGATATAATAATAGAGTGTAAGTGGATAAAATTAGAGTGGAAAAATCACCACTCTAAATAATAAGCATGTTTTCCATTGTATGATGGCCTAATATTTACCAATAAAATACCCTAATTTTGTTGTGTACTAATTTTTTTCCCTTAGGGTATAATTTTCAACGCGTGGCACATGATGAAAAAAATTGTACAACGTCTAAATGGGGCGTCCAAACATCCAAAAAGATATTCAAGTTAATTGAAAATATGACAAGAGGTTATTAGTCAATCGAATAAAAACAATTAGTCCTGTATTCGAGATACCTTTTGTTGAGGCCCAAAAATCCAAGAGGCTAAACCCAAATTAACACTTGGCCCAATATAGGTGATTGAATGCAAAATAAGCTCAATCGGGATAAAAGAGAATTTATAACAGCCGCCAACACAAGCTACAAGCCACGAATCATGCTAAGCAAGCACGTGCAGAAGGAGCCAAGAACATACCGATATTACTAAATCACGCTCACATGCTCATTCGGTGCTACTTGGCCCAACTATAGCCTATCACGGCATAATAAAACCCCAAGCACGAGCATAGAAATCATGCGCAAAGAGCCACTATTCTAACACCAAGCTACGTCACGAGCTTAAGTGGGCCCAAGCCACAAAATTAACAGGGGATTACTGAGAAGGTTGTGGTCTGGAAGGAAACAAGCAATCACGGGGCCCATTGAGGGTTCAATGAACGTAAGTTTCAAAGCCACTTGGGGGGTTTTGAAACTCAAGCCCGTTCCTAGAACCCAAGCACATGGGTTAGCATGAGAGAGAAGAGAAAAAATTGCCCCATGCTCTAGGAAGACACCAAAAACCTACCAAAATGCTTAGCCCAACCCACATCAATAGAGTTAAAAGGCCTTTCCAGCAGTTTGACGAAAATTCACTAGAAATAATAGGCCAGCAGCCCAAAAGTCACACGCAAGCCCAGTCCAGCAGCTTATACAAAAGCTGTCATCGTGTTACACCTCTGATAAGACTCCAAACAAGTCAGACAAAGGGCCAAGACAAGAACCAGTAGAAATTCATGGGTAAAGGGCAAATACCCATCGGACAAAAGGCTCCACCCATCTCCCTCCCCATTACAAGCTCTGTTTTGAAAATGCAGAGAGAAAGCAAAGTGACGCCTCACCCTTGTAGGGAGGTCCAGCTGCGTCAAACCTGTTGGAACCACAATGGTTCCTTTCCCATACGCCTTGATAAGAGAATTGCACGAAAATAGGGCTAAGTAGGAGCTGCCCAGGAAAAAGGAAGAGGAATACCAGACAAGATTAGAGCTCTTAACGCCTATAAAAGGAGACTTTTGCTACCCAGAAAAAGAACAACCATCCAGAGCCTGACCAAGCTTTGTCAAGCAACCTGAAATTTACTCAAGCCACCCAATCCCCTTTCTCCGTTGTTTTCTTCTTTCCCTGAGATAAAACCTTGCTAATTTTTCCTTTGTTCCTAGTTTAGATTTTATCCTCTATAAGAAACTCATGCTGTTCTCTCTCTCTCTCTCTCAAACTGCTAAACTCGTGAAAGCTTAGCTCCCATGCAACATGCCCCTCAGGCTAAGTCATTAGTGAAATCATCATGCTTATTTGGGTGTTAGTAAAGTGATCCTGAGAGTGTTCTTTTAAAATCTCATCAGATTTTCTAAAAACTCTCTTGGGAGCTTGGTTTCAAACTCAGGCATTTGGGGATTTTACTCGTTGTCTTCTTACAGCAGCCCAGACCCATTCGTCAGGCTGCTGGAACAAAAAACCCCCTACACCTTTTATTTTATTTTATAATTCTCTTACTCTAATATGGCTGACATAAAAAGAAAAAAGTTATTTACACTAACATTTCCAGAGTTTTTAAGTGCTTTCACAAATTTTCTGAAGTTTCAAAAATTACACAAACATTCCATGAGGTTTCAAATTGTTTTCACAAAACCACTTTTCATTCGAATTTTGTGAAAAAATGGATAACCGCAAGAGGGTAAATAACTCAAAAGGAAAACGGATAAAAAAAAAGTTAATTGAAAATACCAAGATATACAGGGTACCGAAACGAACCACCAAACAGCCCAAACGGGCGCCAACACACCACAGAGTCGGTGCGATTTAAATCTTTCCTAAATTGAATTTCGTATTTCTTTGTTTGGGTCGTCCTTTTAATTCTAGGGTTTTGGCCGTTTGGCGCTAAAAGTTAAAAGGATGTTCCAGCTGCTGCTTTGCGCGGCGATCTTGGGCGAAATAGCGCTGATTCTAGCGCTGCTGTTGGAGATCAAACTGGCGGAGCCGGTGATGATAGCGGTAGATCGCTTGAAACGAGGGAGGGGCCCACTCGTTGTGAGGATCATCGCTGGTTCGGTGTTGTTTGTGCTAGTGGCCAGGGTCTTCGGTACGATCAACATCATCAAACGAACCACCATGCTCAATCCGAGTGTTCTCATGAACATGCTCCAGATTTCTATGACCGGTAACTTATTTTTCCTTTTTACAAAAAATTATTTTTGTTTTTAGATTAAATTTTCAGAAATTGATGGTACGAAGCTTAGGAAATCAAATTATAGGGAAAGTCAAGAACTTGAACCAGGCTTTCTAGTATTCTATAGAGAAATTGATAGCAGGATTTAGCTTAGGAAACATGATAGGGAACCCATTTCACTTGGAATGGGATTCTGTACGTGTAACTCTCTTAGCCTCTGACTAGAGCTGGGATTTGGGGCATTCGCAGAGGAGAGAGAAGGAAGAGAGAAATGAGAGAGAGAAGATATTTACAAAATTTCCCTTGAAAGGGGTATGTGCACATCAAATGTCAAAGTTTAACAAAAGTGGACAGTGCATTTCAATTTTTCCAAAGTTCAAAGGGGTATTGAGAGTATTTTATTTCCTTTCCAGGGACAAAGTGCAGCGTGCACTATAATTCAGAGGAATTTCTTCTAGTTTTATGAACTTTTCTCTCTCTCCTTCTCTAGGAAAAATGCCGTCTTGTGTGTGGGGCGATAAGATATCCTTCTGCATTTTCTATTTACAATCTTAGTTTGTTTTGTGCTTGTGTGCTATTGGTAATGGTATATCACAATGTAAGCTTTCTTAATTTGATTGATTGTTTGCTTAGTTTGTTCCTTCAAATTGATTTCCACGTTATCGAATGCAGGATTCTTGCTGTTTCTTTCAGTTATTTTGGATAGATTGCATCATTACACGAGAGAAGTTTCTTTACTCAGGACTGAAATGGAGGCTGCACAAAGAGAGAACCAAACTTTTCAAGAGGAGGAAAACGGAAGAGCCATGGAGCTTAAGATCTTGGGACAAGAGATTGCTAAATTGAGAACAAACATCATGAATACGGAAACTGAATATGAGACGAAAGCAAAGGGGGCAAAGCTGGAAAAAACCAAGGCATATGCCTTGAGAAAGCAATATGAAGGACTCCTTGCGGAAATTGATCGCGTGCAGGAAGACAACCAAATTCTTCGAAGCCAGCTAGAATGGGTGGATCTAAGCTATGATGACAAAACGAAACACGCAAGGAAGCGATTACATTAGCAAATTTTATTCATATGCATATGCGAGGGCTTTTTAGATGTGGGATTGAGGCAGAGAAAAGAAGATAAGTGCACCCATGTGTATATAAAGTGTAGGAATTGACGCAAGGAATTTGTGTAGTTTCGAATTCTTTTAGTTCTGCTAATGTGAAGATTGCTCAAAGCACTGAACCCATTTCAAAATGTTACATGTGGATCCCCCTTATCACAAAGCTAAAATGAAATGAGTTATCGAAAGGTTTTTTCTTTCTTTTTTGTTGAAGGGTAAAATTGCGATTTTGGGAAAATTCATAAAAGTCCTCTGCTTCTATAAAAACACGCAGATTCTCAATTTCGGTCTCCGACCTCTGGATCTCTCTTGCCCGAGATTTTAGATTTTCGGTGTAAGCGTGAAGGCAAAAGGATGGTGCAGCTGCTGTTGATTTTGGGGCAGGGGTTGGTTTATCTGCTCTACGCACTGATTTTCAGCGAAATGGTGCTGATTATGACGTTGCTGTTTGATACTCCTGTGACGAAAACAGCGATCTCGGAGTTGGATAGTTTGAAGCTAAACCAAGGAAAGGGTCTATTGCTTGTGAAGATTGTCACTGGAACTCTGTTTCTGGTTGTAATGGCTAACTTCTACAGTCTCCTCCGCATGAATATGAAGAACCGAACCAACGAGGGCAGTGGGCTAAACCCAACAGAGGAGGTTCTCAAGTCCATGAACATACTCCAAATTTCTCTAATTGGTAATTTTTCCTTTCGAATTTTACTGGGTCTCTTGTGAAATTCTGGATTTTGTTATTGTTCTTTTGAAGTTTCGATTTTGGTTCTGCTAATTTGGAATATTCAATCAAATGTTAATCAGTTTTTGACTGGGGACATTTGACAAACACCTTCTGATCATATGCAAGCTCTGTGTTTACTCAGCATGAGTTTGGTATTGTGCTACGTTATTAATCATCTACTTCTAGTTTTATGGAACTCTCTGCCTCCTTTTTGCTAGACAAAACCTTTGGCCATCTCAGCTTTATAGATAAGTTTGTGCTTGTATGGTATTGGTCTATATCACAATGCATTTTGCGTACAGTATAAATGTGAATTTTGTTCTCTAATTTTTCTTAAATAACCATTTGTGAATTTTGTTTCCCTCAAAAAATTGATTTTCAACCTTGTTCAAAATGCAGGGATTGTGCTGTTTCTTGTACTGATGATAGATAGCTTGCACCATTACATAAAAGGACTTCCTTCACTCGTGATGGCCATGGAGGCTGCAAAAACACAAAACCAAAGTTTTCGAAAGGAGAAAACCGGAAGTGTACAGAAGCTTAACACCATGGTACAAGAGAAGGATACATTGAGGACAAAGCTCAAGTATCTGGAATCTGAATGCGAGAGCGAAGCAAACGAGGCAAACAAGGCAAGAGCCGAGGCAGAGGCCCTAAGACAGGAATCTGAAGGATTCTTAAAAGAATATGATCGATTGCTCGCGGACAACCAAAATTTTCGGAACCAGTCGAAATTGGTTGAACAGAGATTCACCAAGCAAACCACATCACACCCTAATGACAAAAAGAACTTGTAAGGGAGTTGTTAGTTTTTTTTTTTTTCGTAACTTTTTGTATATACCTCTTTCAGGATGCTATAGTAGGCAGAGAAGAAAATGAGTCCACTTGTGCAATTGGATCAATATTTGTACGTAAAGGTACCCAAATGATGCAACAATTGAGTTGATAGAATTTGGGTTCTCTTAGTAGAAACATTGCTCTTTGTTCACATGACAAATACAAACCATAACCATAACTCAATGAACTTCACAATTCACAAAGCAATTTCAAAAGCTCCTATGTGTACATGGAACATTTGCATTTCTACACTGATACATTTTTTTAAAGAACTTACCTATTGAGAAAGGGGCGATAATATACTAAATTCACACACGCTACACTCGAACTCTTGTCTGGTGGAGCAATAACTCCAAACCACTACACTAGTGGGACTAGGTCTTTTGCTACATTGTTACTTATTCGTTTATGCTTTTTTGGTAAATACATGTCATCTTTTCATTGATTTTGGCAATCCGACAATTCAAAGGAAAAAATAAATTCATGTTTTACATATTTTCATTAATTAACTATTTAATATTTTGTTTTTGTTTTAACAATAATAAGAACTTGAAAATAATTATTTAATTTGATTAGTAGTTTGCGTAAGTAGAAAAAGTTTTCTAAATAAGTAAACTAATCAAAGTATTTTATCAAGTCGAATTCGATTAACTCTAACCCTTAATCTTTGAGATCTATGATGGTCTCAGCTTTACCAATGAAATACTCAAAAGAATAAAACAGAGGAATCTAATCTCAGCAAATTATCTTGTATTGAATAATCAGAACAACCTCACATGAAACACCCATCATCACTTTATAACGTTCTCATTAACCAAACCCAGATAACAACATGAATCTTGTGTTCAAATTCAATCGTTGTTTTACTGTAACGTCGGTTTTCCAGCGGAAATTTGACAACTTTAACCGTCTCCTTCTCCTTCATAAATGAAGACCATTGCATGAACCAACCCAGTTGCACAAAGAAAATTTAATTCACTCAATTCTTTCTGCTTGCTCAATTTTGTTGTTCTTCGCTCATGGCATTGAATCCGTTTTCAAGACCCACCAAACTCATGTCCTTTTCATCAATATTGCTTCTACTAGCCATGCTCATGCCTGTGGCCAAGCCTCAAAGTCCTAGAGAAACCACCATAGTGTTATACTTGCAAGACTTGGCATCTGGGCCAGATGCCACTGTTGTCCCAATCACTGGCATCCAGGGCAAGCCTCAATCTTTCACCTCATTTGGCACCATTTTTGCCGTTGACGATGTCATCACAGAAACCCCGGATAAAGTGTCAGCCCAAATCGGTCGAGCTCAAGGCATCCTAGTGGCCTCATCCTTGTCTGGCTCCAATGTGCACGTTTCAATGTCACTTGCATTCACCAATGTGGAGTACAACGGTAGCAGCCTTGAGATACAAGGCATCAGCCGCCAGTTTGAGAGGTATAAAGAGGTCTCAGTGGTTTCAGGCACTGGATCATTCAGATATGCAAGGGGATATGCTACTCTTGAGACAGTTTTCTATGACAATAAGACCTTCTACTCGATCATTCGATGCACCGTTAGGTTGCTTCCAAACAGTCAATAGTTGCAGTCACTTTGAGAAATGATTGTATTTTAGCTCTGAGCATGCAAGAAATTGATGAACATCTTTTTTTGGTGTCTCATAGAAATAATATTGGACCTTCCTTTTTAGCCAAAGCAGAACTCAGTCTTCTTCTTCTTCTAGTCTCTTTGATTGAGCACATCCTACAATTGGCCCCAACAAAATCCATCTTGGAACTAATTTATTTTGGTCTTTACACAAATATATTTATATTAGGGTCTGTTGCAGGCGTGGTGCATTATTGCTTAAACAATTCTCAACTAGAAAGGAAGTAACAAGGAAGTAAAACAGAAGGTAAATGGTTGATATAGCATCAATGATTGCTCCTTTTTCATAATATAAATTGAAAACCACAACTCAACATCACAAAGCAATTTCAAAAGCTAGCTCCTTTTCTTCTTAACCTGTCTTCCTGGTTGCTCAATTAGCTCCAATCGACCAATGGCATTAGCCTTCATACCAAATCTCAATGCTCTATCCACAATGTTGTTAATGGTTCTAGCCGTGACTACATCTTTGGTCCTAGCCAGTCATGAGGTCAGAGAAACCCAACTTTCCTTCTACTTTCAAGACATCTTTGCCGGTCCGAATGCCACAGACATACCATTTGCAGGTATTTCAGGCAAGGCTTGGACCTTCACTCAATTTGCCACACTTTATGCCATTGATGACCCTGTAACGGAAGGCTCACACCCAAACTCAGCATCCGTTGGCCGGGTACAAGGCACGTCCATGACATCAGCATTGGATGGACTTAATGCTCATGTCTTGTTTTCCATTGTGTTCACAAACAAGAAGTACAATGGTAGCACTCTACAGATACAAGGGATTGATAAGCAATTCGAGCCAGTTAGAGAATTATCAGTGGTTTCAGGTACTGGAAAATTTCGATTTGTTAGAGGATATATTACTTTCGAAACGATTTCCGTGGACATTCCGAACTCATACGCAGTTATACGATGCAACGTTACGGTGAAACACTACTAGAACAACATGCTCCTCTTTGTATCAGAAACCCTTTGAGGCTTGAGATATATGCTGCTGGACCCATCTGTGTTCAGTTATCTGCAAAGCCTACCAATAAAGTACTCATAAGAATAAAAACAGAGTAGTTTAATTTCAACAATTATCTTGTATAAATGTTTTACTAGTTTTCTAGCAGAAAATTAATTGAGAACTTTAAAACCTTCTCTTTTTGCTGCTCAATTTTGTTGCTCTCCACTAATGGCATTGAACCCATTTTCAAGACCCATGTGTATTATACATCAATGTTGCCCGTAAGTAGCGGCGGACCCATGAATTTTTCAGCAGAAGGGCAATTTTTAAAAGCTAAGAGCTCAAAAAAAAAAGAAAAAAAAAGAAAAAAGAAGAAGATAATTAAACATCCTTATAATTTAAACAATACTAATGTTATTCATAATTAATTAAAATAATAACATTACAATTAACCTACAATTGTTGCTGACGAGCTTTCATATCATGAAAACGTCGCATTATATTTGCATTATTAATATAATTAACCTACAATTATTGTGACTTGCGATCGTTTTGGACTACCTGAATTATTTAAGGGAGGATGTGAAGTAGGCAGATTATTTGAAGGTTGATTTGAATTAGCTGGATTATTTAAAGGAGGGTTGGAACTAGTTGGATTATTTGAGGGAGGATTTGAACTACTCGGATTATTTGAAGGAGGATTTAAACTCTTTCTTTGAAAGTACCGTTCCATTACTGTACAATTAAAACAAAATAAGGGTTTTATATATATTACTATGACTAATTGACTATAATTTATCAATTAAAAAATAAACAAATCAATATCAAATTATCAATTAAATAAATAAATAAAAATTAATTATACATTGAATAGCGTGTCTAGTAGCCTCTTCCTTCTCAAGTTTGCTACTGATCTTACTAATAGCTAAATAAGAAAAAAAATAAATTTATTAAAAAAAGAATAAACAAAATTGGCATTTGCTCAAAAAAAATAAAATGCATTTGACTTACTTTGGATTGGCGTACTCAAGAAGAAGAAAAAACGAAGGATTCTTGTGATGCATACACAATTGAATAAATTGGTCCTTTATATAGAGAATTCCAATCCCAATTAAGTAAGGAATAATATAAATTAAAAAGCCCAATGGAATGGCCCAGCAGCACAGGAGTTTCCTTATATTTTTAAAGCCTCTTTAAAGCCTGGTCCAAAATGACGTTGTTTTGGCCAGGATGTGTTAAAAAAAAAAAAAACCAAGCGCACGCAGCGATGCAACTCTCCCAGCCCAAGTGGTTGGGGCATTTCGTCGAACAGGGTCTGTGCATCTCATTTCTGAAGCAGAGGTGCAATTCCAGCTGTGGTAATGGACTTTTTCGGCGACCGGAGGTGTAGGTGCACCTCTTTGCGCATGCACAGGTCCGCCACTGCCTATAACCTATAGCCATGTTCATACCTCTAGCCAGACAGAAAATTTTATTTGTAACGGATATAACACTATTTTGTTATTCCCAATCAATAATACAATGACATGTGAAAAAACTATGTTTCATTGCGTCAATAGCCAGGGATAACAAAAGTGCCCCGTTGAATAAAAGTCTTTCTTGTAAGCTCAAAGTCAAAAAATTTTTGGCCCAAATAGAACCCACTCTACTTTTACAATTGGCCCAAACAAATCCATCTTGGACTTCTTGCTTGGAAGTGGCAATGAGGTAATGCAAGTGATGGGGATGTTTAATAATTTATTTGCAAATTTTTATAATCAGAAACTTTAAAGCATTAACAAATGGATAGTAGATTAGTATTGAATTCGAAAGTTCTGGTGCCTTCAGACTCTTTCTTTGGCCACATAGAAAACTTTAGGCCACTTCCACTTGGAAGAACTCAATCCACCCAAATATTTGTTATGTGTTACGCGAATCTTAATAGTATAAACGATCGATGTTGTTCCATGTTCTTTGAAGGAGAGTATTGTCAATAATATTTATTCCAACACAGAGAACAGAAATCTGGTTCGAGTTGTAAATGTTGGGTTCTTGCTTACCAAATACCGACTTAACTAGGAAATCTATTCTTCTGACAGTTGCTTCAACAGTAAAAAATGACTTGAAATCTCAGTTTCCTAGCCACTTGCATTTGAGGAACTACACCCAATTTAAGCAGCAGTTGGCGGAATGGAATTAAAAACACCAATGTTTGGCACCCTTCTTTACCTACCAAACAAAGAAACTAAGCAGAAAGGATTATGGGATTTTATCTTTGATACCAAGAATTATGCCTTCACTATGTCATGACTCTTGGGAATTAAAGCAAACTAACGCTAATAGGATCTAACCTAGTGGAAAATGATTTTGACTTGTAAGCCAATGATTTCAAGTTCGAATCTACATGACACTTTCGCGGTATGTGTAAGGGAACTCCCATTCTATTTCTAAATTTGGCAAATAAATAAAAAACACAAACAAAAACTGACCCACCAAACACATATGGGGCCTACTAGCAATTGAGAGGGCTCACCATCCACTTTATAACAGTAAAACAAAATAATAGAGGAAAATATGGAATTTATGATTACTAAAAACTTGATATTGAAGGAAATAACAGACTGTCTCTGTCTCTCTCAAAAATCAAATTGCTCAAACCTACACTCCTGTTATTCATGTTTTTTTTGCAGGCCCCTAAAATATCCAAATTAATTCTACAGCTATTATTGCTATCTAAGAAATTTAACTCCTCCTCCTCCTCACTACCTACAGCTTCAGGGCTTTCCAGTTGTTGTACATCACGATTAACTAAAACCCTTGCCAACCCACCAAACACATCAACATCATCTTCAGCCTCAGCATCATTGGCAATACCAATACTGTTGCTTTCCTCACAATCATTCCCTCTAACTGTGATCCAAGTCTCATCCAAAGCCCACCTGGGATTCCCTGAAGACAAGGACAACCGTCTGATCCTGTGATCAGAGGAGGAATTTTCAAAACTTGGGAACTGAACAAGATTGCCCAAAGTTTCTGATTCTTCTAAAGAGTTCCATATGCCTTGATCAAGAATACTTGTTGGAGAAAATGAAGTGGATTCTTGAGCCTGCTTTGCACTAGAAGTAATTATAAGTTCTTCCTTTTCCTCAAGAAATGAATGCTTTAGAAGTTGACTAGCCGTCCAACGCTCTGTTGGGTCCCTCCTCAAACACTTTCCCAAAAATTCCTTTGCTTGATCTGAGAGGAAGCTTGGAATCTCAGGCAGTTCACCAGAGTACGCAATTTGATAAAGAACACTTACTGGGTTAGCTGCATTAGGCCATGGCACTGATCCCCCAGTAGCCATTTCAATAATTGTGCACCCAAGAGCCCATACATCACAAGGAAACCCCTGCTCTTCCCCACGCGCCACCTCCGGCGCCATAAACATTGGTGTGCCGCCAATTGGCACCGCCACTTCCCCCGCCGGATTAGCCCACCTGGCACATCCAAAATCAGCAATTTTTGGACCATCGTCACCAACCAAGATGTTCCTGCCTTTGATGTCACAATGTACCAACCCATGTGAATGCAAGTACTCTAGCCCTTTCACAATGTCCCTTGTGTAATCTCTGATCAGTGACTCGTCAATTTGGCCTCCGTGGTTGCAAATTTCGTCGATAATCGTGCCGCGGGGCATGTACTCCATGAAGAGATTGTACATGAGCTTGTTGCTCTCACTAGTCATGTCATGCCCCATGTAGCTTACTATATGTGGACTGCTCAAAGCAGAGAGAATTTTCTGCTCCCTTTGCAAGAACTCGGACTGGGACATCTCCGCTGACTTGACGGCGAACAAGTTGCCGGAGAAGCAGGAGGTGGCTAGGGAGACGGTGGCTGATGAGCCATGGCCAATGGTGTGGCCTCTAGTCCAGTCCATTTGGTGATGAGCTAAGAATAGAATGTAGAAAACCTTTTTGTGTTGGTTAAGATGCCTATTGTGCCTCTGCCTTTATATATGGACTTCCTCACTTGCAAAATATAATAAGTGGGATAATTTAATTGGTTGGTTGGGTCTCTCTCTTTCTCTCTCTCTCTCTTTCTCTCTCCATCTACAACCAGCAGGGTTGACAATTCCTTTAAAACTAGTCGACCACGTGTCAAAATTCGGGCGGGGTTGACGGCGGTGGCCTCCTATACGGCTGTGATTTGGCAAAATGGCACGTTGGCACGTGTCAAGGATTGAGGTTTAAGAGCGTGCAAACTGGTTTTGGTTTGGTGCAACCGTGCAAGTGATGGGGAGGGGTTGGGTTGGATGGATGGATAAAAATCCTAAATGGGATGCTCTAATTTGTAAGGACGTGGGGAGTTTGGAAATTAAAATTGGCAACTTATGGGTGAGGTGTTAGGGGGTGCGTTGAACCACCAAAACGGGGTTGATTTCTAGTATCACTTTCAATTTGGGTTTTGGTATATTGGTTGAATTCAAGCATGTGCTATTGGATAAAAATATCTGGTTGGTCAAGATTTCAAGTCTTTTTTTTGTTGAGAAAAGTACAAGTTTCTGGGTATTTACCAAAAGTAAAAGAAGAAAAAGGGGGTTAAGCTAATACTTGTTTTTTTCTTTTTGTCTGTGGGCTTTGACCAATTTACACTACACCATGCAACTTTTATATATATATATATATATATAATGATTTTGGGACCCTAGCTATATGATCAGTGGGAAGCTTTGCCATGAGGATGTTGATAGTTTTTGTTTTTTTTTTCTGGTTAGGAATCAGCACCTAATATATCTTTTTGTCAATTTAAGCCATTGTTTTTTATTGACCAAAATTGATATTGCTTCACCACCATCTTTTGCTGAAAATTTGTGACTTGACTGGTCACAAACACATCCAAAATTCAAAGAATGTGCTTTACTTGAGCTCATTATAACTGTATGGCCAAACAATCCCTCCCCCCTTGATTCAGGTAAAAACAATGTCTCCTGATTCCATGTATTTGTCTTCATTGATTGAATGATGGCAAAAATTTGGCAAATACTTTGGATAAGTATTGACCAGCATAGTATCAAGCTAAAACTAGTATATTGTTGACGGATACTGGTTTTCGAAAACTTAAACAGTACGGATGAACCATGTATATTAGGCTATTAGAATTTTTAACTTACTCCTAAAATATATTTTATCATGCACAATATGCAACCTATTAGAAAGTTTATTCGTTTGTTAATAAGAGGATTTGTGTCTCCTAAGTAAAGCAATCATCATTGATGATGCCGTCTTGGACGTGGCCCGTGGGCACTCCACTAAAATAATCACCCCCCAAATTTTCATGTCTAGATTGTATACAAAGGAAAAACGATTATCCACTATGTATGGTATGCAACAAACACACCTCAAAAGAAAACTACCATGATGAGTGTAAATATAATTAATCTACCATGCTAATCTTAAAAGGGTCATAATCTTATACCAAAAAGTGTCATTAATTGCATTGGAACCATTAAATTAAACACTAAAAAAAATATTTTTTTATTTGATGAATTCATATGCTACGTTTTGTTGCTTGAAGCCTCATATTGTTGATGTGGTCTTTTAGATGTTTAATTTAGAAAATATTAAACTTCCTTCTCCAACTTCCTCATAATTAATAGCGCACAACATATGGTAGATAAGCTTTTGATGAACCAATAAAAGCTAAAAAGGGTGTGGTGGTTTGGAACTTTGCAAGAGAGTTAAAGAGAGGAATCAATTCAAAGAGGCAAAAAGGCACAAAAACAAATGGTAGGGGTTGTGACCGATTCCAATTGACCAAACAATACCACAGTAAATCGGCAGGTGGGGTTAGTTGTTGTTGGGTTATATAACTTATAAAAGTAAAATGCCAACAACAACCCTAATTAAGAATCTCCCAATGGCTGTCTCACTCAAAAGATTATTATTTTTGGATAATATTAGTATCTCGGGTGCTATAATATGGATGGATAACGAGTTTATATTCATAATATAATATTAATGAATACAAAACATATTATAACATAAATGAGTTGTTAACATCACATGATAGTGTTAAAGTCATATCGAAAAATTTCTCGCCTCACTGAGACACTCATACGCTTACCCACCCCACCATCTAATTTCTGTCAAACTTGTTCAGTTAGTTGTTGGACCAAAGTGAGGGCAAAGGTAAACCAACGCTTTTCTCAAATCCCATGCGTGGCTTGTAAGATTCACACAATGCACATATAATATGATATTCTTGTTCATTTTTCATAAGCAATTCATTACTTACGAAACTGGGGCTAAACAAAAGAACCATAGGAAAGTGAACACGTTGGTGTGGAGGCACGTTTTAAATGTGTGTGCTTGTGGAAGTGACAAGGTTTACGTGCGTTTGGATGCCATTGAAATTGAAAAAAAGAGTTGGTGTGGTCCTTGGAACACTGTTGATAGGGTGGCTTCTTTTCATTTATGCCTGGCCTTCCCCTTCCGGCAGAGGATAAGGAAATTGCAGTATGCTTTTTGTTGTAAATTTAATGATATAGCTGTGTGAGCCTGCCATCAATTTGCTAGCTTTTGCTAATAATAAAACATTTGTACTGAATGTGAAGATGAATGCACGCCTTTGGTCCTACCTTGATTTTTTATTATTATACCATTATTGCCCTATAATGTAAAGATGAATGCTTGAGTTGGTATATTTTGGGGGAAAGAAAATTGCTTTTAATTTCTAAAGTTCCCAGCCCACTTATCTTAGCTAATTTTCAACGCAAAGCATTGAGATGAGCTGAAGTAAGGACTAACTGAGAGGTAAGAAGCAACAAGAGAGCTAGTCATGCAAATGGCATGGAGACATTTTGTGCTGAGTGTAATGATACACCAACATAAGTTCCCTAATTTCGGAATTTCATATTAAAATGATGAGTTGTGAGAGTGTTTTATTTGTTCATACACAAATCATTTAAATTTATCTAACAATTACCCCTGCATCCGAGGTCATGTGTTCAAATCCCTCTCCTCTAATATCGCTTATAACAAAGAAAACTTGGGAGTTTTGGTTTGTTTTTTTCTGGTTGCTTTCAGGATTTGAGTTTTAGATTGTTGTTTAGTTTTTGCGTAGTTGGAAAAATAAATGAGTGTTGCTTTGGTTTAGCATGATAGGGTTGTTAGCCGGCATTTCAATGAGTAGAGATGGATGGATTTTGCTTGCTTGGACGTGCCGTTATAGAAACTCTCTCTCTCTCTCTCTCTCTCTCTCTCTCTCTCTGTGGTGGCCATTTACAGATAGAAGAATCATAAAGAGCGCGGCAACACGTAACAAGTTTGTTTATGTGTCACTTTTTAATTTGTTAGTTAGAGACTTTGAGAGCTAAAAGTGCTTTCAATAGTGTGACTCTTTCTGCTTCAACCACGTACATGACGAAATCCACCACGAAAACGAAATTACATCTTTTATCGCTTCTAGAACATCATAAACATTATAGGGGTGATTTGTGAGCTCAAAGTTCAAACCAATGATATCAGTTTCTCGCAGAAATGATTTGTAGCGGCCACCTGTCCACAAGATTGTTGGTGGCTATGTCAGCTTGAAGTCATTGTGACACTCTTTTAAATTTGTGCCAAGAGAATTTAGGTATGGCAAATATACGTCAACTTCAAGCCCATGTATATAGAAACCAAGTTTTCTTGTGCAGATACAAACAATCTTGCCTTGATTTATTCACGGATACAAGATTGTAAAGGTTCATTATGTCCATGGTCCATCACATAAACAAGTTCTATTGTCACAACTCTTTTTCTGATGTCGGCAGAGATTATTTACATAAGCAGGGGAAACAGAAAATATATATAGAACTAAGCTGCTTCTGCAAATCCAACTGACGAGTTCCCATAGTCAAACACGGTGTGATACCGACCCATGAAAATATCCCCCAAAATCCTGCATCAGATTTTCACCATTTTTAGCAATCCAATGTAAACTGTTTGTGTGCGCCATTGCTGAAAAGAATGTACAAGTTCAAAAGATGCTATAAGCAATTATGGGAAGAGTTAAATACCAGAGTGGTCCTCGAGGAGGAGCAACATCTAAAGCGATAAACCCACTGATGCATTGAGCTGCAACTCCCTCCCCGACTTTGAGAACATACTGATCCAACAAACCAATGTTCAGAAGAATAAACAATATATGTGGGGTGATAAATAATACATAAAATGAACAATTAAATATTGGATAAAAGGAAAGAAAACTACTTTTATCAACAGTGGCAATAATGCCTACTAGAAATATAATTATCTAGATGTGAGAGAGAGAGAGAGAGAGAGAGAGAGAGAGAGAGAGTAGAAAAACTTGCAGCTAATCTGGCTCTAACTAAATGCACTGCATAGTAATAAATGCTAAGATGTACTACAAACCAGTTTCATGCAGAGAACTGGTCATGAAAACTCGAAGTTGATAAGTCTTTCTTAAGTATATTAACGCTGTTCCATGAGTTCTTTCTTAAGTTGGAGATCTTTATTCACAATTGGGCATGTGAATACAATTGAGAAGTAGCCTACTCATGTACTCAGATGAAAGATGAAATGATTTAGGGTTTTAATGCCATGACGACCATACCTGCTCTGGAGCAAGGTCAAATACTTTACCACCAATGGTAAATGATACACTGGGTAAGGAGGATAGAGCGCCACACTGAACTACTGATTCTCCACTGGGACTGGGAAGTCGTTCACAGAGCTGCAAGTGAAAATTCCAGCATGAGCTTGCTGCAAGGAACGTTTCACAGACACATGAAAAGGAAGTTTAATTTACCTCATTGACATAATTCAAGATCTGATCCTCTGTCTCATTTAGCCTTAGCCGATTCTGCATCCACACCACTGCCATCTCACAAGCAGCACATGCAGCATCATGCACGCCGTCAGATGTCATTTCTAGTTTCTCATTCACCATACTTTCAATGCCCATACTGCAAAGATGTTAACACATTTAAATCAAAAC